TGTTGGTGGGCTGGGTGGTTTCCCGTTCTAGGAGGTTACCAAGTTCCCCCTGAATGTTCAGGATGACCCTGGGAATCCGTGACATTTTCTATATGCCCATCTTTAGTTTGATGTATGTTTTGCAAATATTCAACCCCATAGGCATTTGTATTTTTAGCAGTGTCTTCTGAAGATCAGAGGACTTCATTTTGATGGAACCTATTTCGTCTGTTTCCTCTTTTAGCATGTGTAGTTCATTTTTATTTTTGGTGTTCTATTTTTAAAATCTTTGTCAAACCCAACTCCTACCCTTTTCTTTGAAAAGTTCCATACACAATATTGGGTCTACATGGGATCTATATTTAGGTCTACGGTGCTGTTCAAGTAAACTTTCCACTTGGAGGATTTGGAGGCCACACCCAGCAGTGCTTAGGGCTCAATCTCCATAGTGCTCAGGGGACCTAATGCAGTGAAGAAATAAACTAGAGCTGGCCACATGCCAAAAGGCAATCACCTTCACTCCTGTACTGTCTGGACCCTCAAGTTCATTTTTTAAAACTGGTTTCTATTTTGGGTTTTGTGCTATATTCAGTGATGCTCAGGCAATACTTGGGGGGATTAGAGGGGATTCTGGAGTTTGAACCCAAGTTGGCTATGTACAAGGCAAACACCAGACCCACTCTACCATCACTCTGGCCCCTCAAGGTCATTTTTAAATATAGCATGTTATACAATAATAACGGGCTGGAGCAATAGAACAGTGGGCAGGGCTTTTGCCTTGCACGCGGTTGACCTGGTCGGCCCAAGTTCGATTCTTCTGCCCCTCTCAGAGAGCCCAGCAAGCAAGCTACTGAGAGTATCTAGCCCGAACGTCAAAGCCTGGCAAGCTTCCATGACTTATTCAATATGCCAAACACAGTAACAGCAAGTTTCACAATGTTACTGGGCCCGCTCGAGCAAATCGATGAACAACGGGAGGACAGTGACAGTGATACAATAATAACATGCTACATCTACAAAGTTTTTGTAGCATCAGAAAAATACTCTTCTAAAATATTAACTGGAGAAAATCCATAGCAGACTGTTAAAATTGAGGTCAGCACCAAGGAATAATCAACTTGAGACAAAAACAGAACAAGGAGCAAAAACTATGGCTGAAAAGCAGGACTGAAGGAAACATTCTGGGATATCTTAACTTGTTTTTAAATTCTGAGATTGCTGCTGATTGCTTGTTTAACTGTTAAAAATAATTTTAGTATTTTTCTATAAGCACCAACTCCATGATATCAAATTTGATTCAAATATTCTTAAAAAAAGAAAGGCTGGGCTGGAGAGAGAATACAGTGGGTAGGACACTTGCCTTGCATACAGCTGACCTGGATTTAATCCCCAGGACCTCACATGGTCCTGGGAGCAGTGCCAAGTGTTATCCATAAGCAGAGTCAAGTGAAAGCCCTAAATACTGCTGGGTGTGGCCCCACACCGCCAAATAAGAAATAATAAAAGAAGACTTCCAGACCCCAAACTGCCTTGGCATTGCTCTGCAGAGTGTCCAGGGCCTCATGGCAAACCCAGAGGGTAACCACACAACTGGAAAACATGTCTCCCCCAGGCTTACCCAACAGCGCTTAGCATATGAAATTCAATCATCAGTTTCCAAAGAGCATTCTTCAGGGAGAAGGGGAGGGGAGTTGAAGTCTTCATATGAGGCAGCATATTAGCCTGAACCCAAATACTTCTTAAAGTAAGAGGCAGAATGCCATGGAGGGAGAATGGGGTGCTCAGCATGGCATCCCCTCAACTTGCTTGCCCGGCCATCCTAAGACAACATAACAGAGGGGCATGTTCAACAGTTTCTCCAGCAGCCTCCAGGACCAGGGAAGCTAATAAAATTCTCTTGATACTAGCCTCCCTACTCTGCTTCCATAGGTATGCAAGACCAGCCTCAGCGTGCAACCCTGCAGCCTGGAATGAGCCCCTTGGTCTGCTGTGTGGCCGGCTGGGAGGCAAGGTCTCTGCTCTCTGCTCTTGGCCTCTCTGCTGCTGCAGAGACTGTCCAGGTGGAGGGCATCCTTGCAGATGCTCTGCCCAGGATGACTCCCCTGGTAGATGATGTAGAGAGCTGTCAACACACAGTTGCATGGGGCATAGAGGGGATCGCAGGGAAGGCCAGATGTTTCCGCCGGGAAGGTGCCCCAGACGCTCCTACTGCGCCAGGCTGATATGGTAGTTGAGTCAGAACTTCGAGAGAAAAGCAGAGGATGTAGAATCTCCCCAGCCCAGTGGAAACCTCCCCAGTGCTGGAAAGCGAAGGGAGTGGGCATGCTCCTGTGTGGGCCTCCTCTTAGAGCTGGGGTCCCAATCAATGAACGAATCAGCCCATTGATCAGAGCTGCCAGGATCTAAGTGCTCATGGGCCACAAATCACCACCAGCGAGAGAGAAACGATGCACAATCCTCGTGCCAAGCCTCCAAGGCTTCCTCTGGCTGCACAGGCAGGCATAGAAGGCACTGGGAGTGGGCTACTCTTTCTCTAGAGGAAGCAAGTTTGGGGGGTTCTGACCTCCGTCAGCAAATTGGACACCAAGAACAGCAAGACCAGCTGCTGTTCCCTTACCTTGATCTGAGACACCCTCCAACCCAACCCTCACGGAGCACACATACAAGGCACGCCTCTTGGGGATCAGACCCTTGGCCGCCCATAAACCTGCCGTGAGGCTGTGGGTCAGCTGGCCAGAGAGAAATGATGGTTCTGCACAGAGGAGAGGGCAGAGACTCAGAAACAGAATCAGGTGACTTGCTGAGGTCACTGAGGAGGGATTTCTTATTCCTAAGCCCACACTCTTCAGAGCACTGTAACTGTGGGGGTCCCACAAGGTTTGGGAAAGGAGAATCACACATTCCACAAAATCAACCAAGTGCTGGTGCTTCTGGGCAGACTCTGCTTGCTACTCTGGCCTGTGCCTGAGAGCCAAAAAGGCACCCCCCTCTTTGCATCTGAGCACCTGCTTTGCATGTGTCAGGTGGGACTAGATTTCCAACACCACAAAGTCCCTGAATGCCACCAGAAGGAACCTCCAACCCCCTGCAGTAGCAACTAAGCATCTGACTTTGCATCCTGCATTTGTATGCAAATGTATACACATGTACACTCAGGTGAGAAAAAACATGGCTGAGCATCCCAGAGCATTACACCAAAAGGCACTTAGATTAAAGGTAGCAAAAGGCCATCTCTCCCCTCCTGCGGGGAAGGAAGGAGCCACATGAGGTGAGAGACACCAGGCTGATTTTCTCAGAGCACATATGCCCTCAAAGGAATTCTGAAATGCCTGAAATGAGAGCCAGACTTTCCTTGGGGCTAGGATTGGGGTTTCTTATTCACCCCTGTAGCTCAGGATCCACACAAGCCAAGCAAAGAGATGGTCTATGGGGACCCTGAATGAATGGACAGACAGACTATACCTAGAGAGAGTGAACAAAGAGAAGCAAATAAAGTAGTGATTAAAAACACAGCTTGGAAGCAAGACAGTCCTGGTTGGAATGCATGGGGGACTCCAGGCTGGCACCCCATCTTGGATTCCTGGACCCCATCACTCAGTTCAACCTTACTTTCTGAGCACAAGCTCCCAGACAGGGTGGGAAGGAAGGAAGGAAGGAAGGAAGGAAGGAAGGAAGGAAGGAAGGAAGGAAGGAAGGAAGGAAGGAAGGAAAAAATACTGCCAAGGTGGTTGGAAAATTGGAAATAACGGTGGTGGGAAGGTGCACTGGTGGTGGGATTGGTGTTAGAATACTGAATGTAGTAATTATGAACAACTTTATAAAAATTGTAGCACTGTAGCACTGTCCTCCCATTGTTTGTCAATTTGCTTGTACAGGCACCAGTAATGTCTCACAACAATTTGTGAGACTTGTTACTATTTTTGGCATATTTAATACATCACGGGTAGCTTGCCAGGCTCTGCTGTGTGGTCAAGATACTCTCGGTAGCTTGCCGGGCTCTTCAAGAGGGGCGGAGGTATTGAACCTGGGTATGCTGCATACAAGGCAAATGCCCTACCCACTGTGCTATCACTCCAGCCCAATTCTTTAAAAAAAATGCACTCCTAAGAGGAGCACCAAAATGGACCAGCTTGGACATTGGGACCTAAGGGGCAGGGCAGGAAAAGTCTGTGCTGCCTGGGTTCAAAGGTGATGAACTTAGAGAAGTCACAGACACCCCCAAGCCCCATCTTTTCACAGGCCCAGGGCTGCACTTCCCAAGGTCACAGGGAGGGCCTATAGAACGGGATGCCGGTGCTGATGTGGCATTTTCTCCTCCCCAGCTCCATCCTGTTCTTAATTCAAATGCACCAGTTCGGTGCAGATAACTTTCTTGTTTTGAGGATTTCTGTGCAACTAATGCCAGAATCCACCAGAATCAGCTCTTTCCTTCATGGGTAACCCACTGCGTGGGCTGTGCTGTCAGCAGGTAAGAGAGCAGAGGCGTGAGAACCCTAAAGAAGGACCACTGTGGTAGAGGGGTACTAGTGCTGTCCCTTGCGGAAGTCTGAGAGGATCGTGGTGGTGGTCCTGACCCTTACCCTGATGGGCATCCAGTCTGGCAAAGACAAGAGTCAGGCTGCCCTGGGACCTCAAGGGCAGTGTCTTCCAGTGTCATCCAGAAATGAGAAATGCAGCCATGCTTCCTCCCAGCTCCGCTCTTCGCTCGGATCCTGGGTCATGGTAGGAGGAGGAAGGTCTCCACAATGACCAAGATGGATTTTTTTTAAATGAAATCCGCCCAGAGCAGGGGTGCCCAGCCAAGGTGAGTGGGCTTAAAGGAAAGGGATGTCAGTGACTGATACCCATTCTAAGTCTCTGCTGAGAACAACATTTGAATATGCAGCATCCCCCCTCCAGGCCCAAACAACACTCAGCATGGCACAGAACCCTCTGCTCTGGCCTCTGTCCCCCAGTCCCACCAGCTTCTGAATACCCCCAGATATGCACTGAGGTGTGCTCCCTCCCACCACCAGCCTTACCTGGGCAGTAGATGCTTGCGGCTGACGCACAGGGCCGTTTGATAGTCCTGGGTCACGCATACTTTGTGGGGGCTGCACTTCACCTTCAGGCAGGGGTCTTTGGAGGGATCCAGGGCTGAGGTGGGGAAACCAAAAGAGTAAAAAAAAGAATGTCAGAACCTTCAGGGTGCTTTCAAGTACAGGTCATTTCTAATCAACAGGTACAGGAGGGGTGATGGAAGGAGGGAGGAGAGAGAACAGGTTTGCCCACTGTGCCTCAGGCCCAGGCTGGTGGGCTTTAGGAGGCAGAGTCCGGCAGGGGTTTCTGAGTCTGCTGGGCACTGGGGTGATGCCTTTGTGATTTGGGGGATGGCAGCATCTTTGACCTGAGCCTGAGTTACTCTCAAACTCTTTTCGGCTCTTCCATGCTCCAAGGACCAAGAGCTACTATTTGTCTGCAGTTGCTTTTTTAATGGCTTCATCCAGGCCTCATTTGACTCATTTCCTACAATGTAAAAAGTCCCTCGGGACAGAGGTTCTTGGGCTTCGTTCCAACAAACACCCAGCAGGTGCATAAATAAGCCGATTTTAAAGTTTTGCGAGCAACTTCGGGATGGCGAGACGGTTTAGTGCCACTGAAGGTTACTGAGTAATGGGGAAGGAAGGAGCAAAAAGCTCACACATAAATATTTATCGTGCAAGGCCGAATTAGATAAAGGCCATGACGGGCATATAAAGTGATAAGAGAGCTCAGGAGAAAAATAGAGATCAATTTCTGGGGCAAGGATTAATGAAGCATTAATATGGGAACTGGATCTTGAAGGATGGGCAGGAATTTGTTTCTTAATAAGGGCCACCACCAGTGGGAATCAGTTGGTCTCTGGGTCACTTCCAGAGACCCTTGCCCCCCTGCAGCTTGAGCCTGAGGGGTCAGTGCTCAGGGCCTGTGGGCTCTCAGGGCCTCCAGCCACTATGGGTGCCCAGCACTGGTTGAGGAGGGGGCACACCTGGGCCATGAGCCCCTTTTCCATTGGTAAGTGTGCCTGGTGGGTTGGAGAAGCCTGGGGGCGCTGAGTGGACTTCACCAGGTAACACTGCAAGAGGTCTCCTAAGACAGTGCTCAGTATCCCGCAATGCTTCTCAGCTGAGTAGGCCCCTGGGCTAATGAGCTCCCTGCCTGCTTCGGGAGGTGCTTGGCGAGGCAGGGAAGAGGCCTTGGGGAATGCTCAAGAAAACTCAAGCAACTTGCCACCTTGCACGTCCAGGATCTACAGCATGGGTGGGTAGGTGGGTGGAATCTTTCAAAACTCTCAAGCTGCAGGCAACTACCCACCACAACCCCCTGTCCATCGCTCCCCCCCCCCCCCCCCCACACACACACTCACAACTAGGTAAAGGAACCGGCATCCTGGCAAGTGAGGACAATGACACTGCCCAGAGAAATGCTACCATCGCCTCCCCTCCTGGGTCCCCCTGAACGTCTTAAGAATCATCATTATTCTCACACTCCAGGCCCCAACACTTGGCAGTGTTTTTCTCAGACGGTTGCTGGGAACTCAGGTGCCCTCAAGAGGACTGTGCACACACAGGCCAAGCCCTCTCTGCTGCTTTTGCAGTTTGGGGATGCTGGGTGTCTCTCCCCAAATCCTCCCCCTGCACCCCACATGCACAAGGCCGGCTGCAGCACTGTGAGCAGAACTGGGATGCAGCGTGTGTTCCCAGTCTAGTCCTGGTTGTGAGTAGTCACATGGCAGAACACCCACCTCCAAATGAGGGGTGCAGCTATGGGAAGCAGGAATTGAGAGGCTTCATAGAGGGGCTGTGATGGGGGTCCCCAGAACAGGGAGTTCCCTCCAAACAAGCGGACTCTGGGCAGTCAAATGCCACCACTGGGCACTGAGGGCCTAGTGACCTGGGTCTGTCCCTGCCCTTGCTGAGAGCAGGAAGATCCCGGTGCCCAGTGGGATGTGTCTGGTTCCTCAGAGGAGAGTCAGAGGCCAGAATACTCTTGGGCTGGGGGCTTGACCGTGTGTAGGATATCTTCCCACATCACCTAGGAGCCAGCTGAGCCAGCCTGCCCTCCAGGACTGACCCCAAATGGAGCTGACGGTAAGCAATGACCACTGGATGCCCATGAGCCGTGCCCATGCCCATGGCTCACAGTCCACCTTATGCTCCCAGCCACCGCAAATTGGTATTTCAGGATTTCAGCCAGTTGGGGATCATGAACCCTGGTGACCCTGGACATGGTGAACGGAGTATTTCCCAGGGAGATGCCAGAGTGTCAACATTAACCCTGGGATTTTTCCCTGGTCTGGATCTTAGGGAGGGGGTTTTCCAGGCTGGTCTCAGATAGCAGCCCCAGCTTCGGGTCTGACCAGGGGACAGAGGAGCTGTGTGATCACACACAGGCTGCCTTTTGCTCCTGCAGCCAACATGACAACCATGCACCATCCACACTGTGATACAGAGGGCCTCTATGGACAGTGCTCTCAGGAAGAACCAGAAGGATGAGCGAGGGCCCTGTGTTTGTGACAGTGTGACTACGCTGCTCTGGTGACCTCTTTCAGCCTCAGTAGAGTATAAAACAGGGCAATGGCAGTACCTACTATGGCTCTGGGTTGGCATCAGCACTGCTCCATGAGCGGATATGTGCAAGTGCGTCAAGAGCCCTGGGGCATGCTTGGGGCGCTCTCTGTCCCCTGTGCTCTGCCTCCCATTCCCAGAGAGCCACAGCCTTCATCATAACAAAAGCTGACGTTCACCCTGTGCCACACCACAAGCAGTGACCACAACCCCCTGACTGCGGCATCACACACTGTTTCTTGACACCACCCAAGGAGCTGGCTGCCGTCCAAGTATCCTTCACAGATGAAGGTGTGTGGAGGGAGATGACAGCTGGCTTGGCTCTCCCCAGAGCCTTGCCTCCTCAGACCCTACGCCAGTAGCTTGGAACCACCTCAGGTCTTTATTTTTTTTAATTTTGTATATATTTTTTTAATTGAATAATCGTGAGATAGTTACAAAGCTTTTGTGATTGGGTTTCAGTCACACAACATTCCAACACCCATCCCTCCACCAGTATACATTTTCCACCACCAATATTCTCCATATCCCTCCTGCCACGACCCCACCCCACCGCGGTAGGCTCTTCACTCTCCCCAAGACTTCAGGCACACAAAGGGAAGCCTAGACCCTCAGCGCTGGCCCCGGACCTGCCTCCGCTGCCAGGTACCGCTCCTAACCTGTCAATCTGACAGCTCAGATCTTTTTAAAGAGCTGACCGTGGGGCCTGGGATGTGGTACATGGATCAGAGGGGTCAATCCCCTGCGTTATGTGGCCCCCAGAGCCCCCTGGGTGGCAGGGCCAGAGCAGCACCACATCCTCAGCACTGAGTCAGCCAACACTGTTGGCCAAGTATCACCAGTGAATACTGCTGGGGATACAGTTCCCCTCTAGAAATATTGATCATGGGGTTCTGCCTCCCACCAAGGGGGTACTGATGCAACATATTCTTGAGGAGACTTCAGGACAGGACAAAGCAGAAGAGGAAGTCAGGGCTACAAGCACCCAATACCCAAGCTGAAGATACTAAGATATGTATTATACTCATTGCTCCAGTCACCACTTGCGTCGCAGAAGGTGGGATGCCCTGCTTGGGTGTTGTGCCTGTGTTTTCCCCATCAAAAGTACTCCCCCCCTTCAACCAAAAGAGTCGGAGGACTCCTGAGGTGGGGGGGGGGCGGGGTGAGTTTGTTTTCTCTCTGTACCCACTATCAGGCCAACTACCATGCTCGTCTCTCCATTTCTTGACACCAACCATTTCTTACAAAAATACAAAGTTGGGGCCAGAGAGATAACACAGGGGTTTCAGTGTTTGTCTTGCAAGCAACTGACTCCAGTTTGACCCCTGGCAACTCCTATGGTTCCCTGAGTCCCACCAGTGGTGATCCTTGAGCACATAGCCAGTAGTAAACCCCGAACATATCCAGAGACACCCCCAAAGAAGACAAAACAAAACAAAAAAAAAGAAGGAAGAGAAAACCAAACTATTCTTATCCCCAAATACTCATCAATAAAACTATCCGTTATTTAACTCTATACACATACCTCACAATTTGCATATAGAAATCAAGTCTGCTAAAAATTAATTACCAGGGTCTGAAGATTTCAAACATGTATGCGAATTATTTAGAGTAAATGAACTTACAGAACAACAAAACAGTAACAAATCAAGCTGCTGGCACTTATTTAATCACCACAACGCACTTCGTTTGGGAAAATCAGCCCATTGGGATGGGGAGAGGGTGGGGATGGAGCACAGGAGGTGTGTGCCATTTCCATTCCAACGCAGCCTCTCAGGGATGGCAAGGGTTAGGGTTTTGCTTTGCATGTGGCCAACCCAGGTTATTCCTGGCACAGCAGGGTCCCCTGAGCATCCCTGGGGATGGGCCTAGGGGCTCCAGAAACTGCCAGGGAGACCTGCAGGGCTGCAGCAGCCCAGTCAGCATCACACCCTCAGGCCCTCAGACTGGACCCTTAGGCCCAGTTGACCAAGCAGGGCCAGGAGAGGCCCCTGGGCCTCTTCAGAGGTCACCTTTGAAAAAAAAAGTGGCCTCTCAGGATTTCCTCCTAGTAGCTCCCAAACTTAACGGGTGAAACTCCTGGGAGGCCCCTCCCCACCTCGAGACTAGATGGAGCTGTGTGGCTCCACTCTCTGAAGGAAAGGAGGAGGGCTCAGAAGAAGAGGCATGTGAGGGCCAAAGAGTGAGCACGGCGGGGAGGGCACTTGCCCCGACCCACCTAGCACCACATTTGGTCTCCCAAGCACAAGGTCAGGAATAGCCCCAGACAACTCTTGGATGTGGCCCCCATCCCTAGACCCCACCCATGGAGTAGCATTTGAGGCCCCCTTAAATAAAATCAAGGGGTAGGGTGGGAGAAGAAGAGGGAGTGTGGGAACCGAGAATTGGCCTGATGGGGTTGGTACCTCCCTGTCCAGGTGCTAAGGATTTCCAGAGGCTGCGCATGCTAAGCATCTCTGACCGCACAGGTGCCTGGTGAGAGGATACAGAGACTTCCACAAGACACCCTATGTCCCCTCCACCTCCTGGGTAGCAGTTCCTGAAGAACTC